CTTTGATCCTATATTGTAGGCCTAAGGCACTTAAGGGGTTGTCTTCGGCCCAAGAAAGTCCAATTAGGATGTATCTAAAATTGACAGATTCGCAGCAATGAGCTGTCGTAGCAGCAACATAAATAGATTAACTGAACCACTTGTGATTTTTTGGTTAAAACAATACAAATAAAATGAGAGCTACAGGTTATTATTTATGATTGATAACTCTAAATTTTTTACTGTATTATCTATTTATCAGAATGTTAATCGAAACTGAAAAAGTAATTGTTATAAACCAGGTATGAGTGACATCATACCAATGTTAGGAATACCAATTTTTTTACAAGGTTAATAAAACATATCAATCATAAATCATTACTATTCCAATAAACGTGATACTTTTTGTACGAATTACATAGGATTTTTTTACAAATATAAGGTGTGTTGTATTGAAAACTATATCAAATTAGAATGATATGTTTAATTCTACATATATGAAAATCCTTGTGTCCAAATTTGTTGACAAACATGTCTTCTCTCAACACTATACTCACCTTATTCAAGAGAAGGAAAAATGAAAATTTACTACAAAGTATATATATATATATATATATATATATATATATATATATATATATATATATATATATATATATATATAAAGGGTTGATTTCCAACAAGTATCAATGATGTGTTCCGAATAAGATACATATATAATTTGATACTTTATTAGCTTCTTTATGAACGTTTTATGGCTGGATTGTATAATTTATACTCTTATACGTCGTTTTTAGCTCATCACCACCCTTCATATTGGTCGACCAAATCGATGGCAAGGCTATCTTTGACACCAGTTAAACTTATATGCATAACATAACTACTATCTCAAACCCAAGTAAACAATTTTTTAAATACAGCCACTATCGTGATGGTTAGTGCCAACAATTTCATGGCTTAAGCACACAAAAATAGATGATTGACAAGAAATAATAACATCAATATAAATACGTGTAATCCCATCAATTCAAGAATTAGACTATTAGGGCACCAAAGATTTCAGGTAAAAATTGTTTATGGCTCTTCATTAACATTTAATTAACTAGTTTAAGCGGATTTAGGCTATGATTTATTGGTAAATATTAGACACTGGCGGAGCTAGCATGAGATAAGGGGGACAGTTCCCAAAAATATGTCAGATCAAATATATAATTGTGTGCAATATTGCATTAGCAAATTGAGATGATCTAGCAGTGGTGAGTGGAGTGGGCTGGTTTACAAGAAATTTGAGTTCGAACCTTGCTGTAACAAAACTCTCAAATTACAGTTTTAACTATATTATATAAAATTCTTGTCTCCGCCACAAATATTAGAAATTTTTTAGGGTTTTTGTTTAATTTTCTATGACCTTTTATGATCGAAGAAAATTAAAAAAATTGACCATGATTTAGGATTATTATAATTTTTAAATGAAACTTTACATGCATTCTTAAAATACTTGACAATATTACTCTAAAATACATTCATTATATTTTTATGTTTTTTGACGGGAAATACATTCATTATATCCACTAAAATTGCATAAAAAAAAAAATATCTATTAAAAAATATAGAGCACTACTTTCTTTGCAATTATATTTATTAAAGAATATAGAGCACTACTTTCCTAGTTTCTCATGTATAGATATTGAGTAAGATCAAAATCAATGCTTGGTATGTCTTATTTCAAAGTTTGACATTTATTTGAATATTGACTTGTAATAGAATTGCATTAATCAATAATTTAATATACGTAAGTGATTTTAGAGATATAAAAAAGGAAAATTTAATAACAACAAACCAAGTTTTGCTCTATTCTCCCAAAATGGACCAACTTTTAAATTTTCTCAAAATAAACGTAAGTTTGTATTTATTCTCCCATATTAAACCAAGTAGGTAAGTTGACCTGTTATAACAGGTTGCAATCCACGTGTCATCTCCTCATTGGTTATTTCTTTAAAAAAAAAATTGATAATTTAAATAAAATTATTTATTTCATTTTTAAAATTTTGATAATAAAAAAAAAAACCACCCTTTCCCCACCACTGCCAGCCCCTCCTCCCTTGCCGGCGTCCAACCCGATTTTCCGGCACCGGAAACCACCACCCTTCCCTCTCTCCCACTCACGGCAGCCCAACCTTCCTCTTTCCCCATTCCCGCTGCCCCCGACACCGCCCCTCCCCACTTTCCCGCAACCGAAAACGCCACAAAAGTTTAAACGAATTAAACCACGAAACGACCTTATTAAAAATCAAAAACCCCCAATTCGAACTCCATGTCGTAAACACAAACTTCTCCCCATCCCAAATCCCTAAAGACTCGCAATTATCATCTTCAGAAACCTTCTTCTTCAACTGCTCAGTTAATTTCGAGGCATGGAAATTCTTTGGGTGGAGAATTGAAGCACCAGCATCAAGGTATTGTTAGCAATGGTGATTGGTGATAATAGCTATACGATCTCCGACAACGAAGTTTTTCTCGAAGACATGTATACCGGCGATTGGGGAGGGTTCCTGCGATTATTTGCGGAGGAAATGGGAGACTGATGCGCTGGAAATGTCGCTTCCGATGATGCAAACGGTGGTTGGAGGTGGCGGAGAGGAGAGAGATTGGGAGAGAAGAAGAAGGAGGAGGAGAAAGAGGAGATATGGGAAATGTTGTAGTGGTTTCATGGTGGGGGAAGGGGGAAGGAGGGGCTAGTATGGTGGGGGTCTGAGTTTTTTTTTTTTATAATTTTTTTTTATTTTATTTTGTTAATTTAAAAAAGGTAATTAAAGGAAAATAAAAAAATTAACCAGTTTTTCAAGTCACAAGTCATTTTGGTTAATATGTGAGAAAAAAAATTACAAACTTGTGTTTATTTTGGAAAGATTTAAAGGTTGGTCCATTTTAAGAGAATGGAGCAAATGTTGGTTCGTTGTTAAATTTTACTATAAAAAAAAAAAAAGTTTTGATTAGAAATTTAGAGCGAGCAACTCAAAATGCTATACAAAACGCGCTTTCAAAACTCCTCGGCAATAGTCATTCTAAAAATAAACCATAGATTATAACTAAATGAAATCTTTGGTAACTTTCTTCTAACCTTCCTAACATATGCTAAATGCTTTTGCTTGGCAAGCAAAGCATCAAAAATCAGCACACGGAATTCTCAACACTCCTATCAGTGTCATTAATTTAGTCATAGATTAGAACTTTAGAAGCGTGTTTTATTATGCTTTTATTAATTTTTTGAACAAATTTATTAAAATTAATTAAAAAGATAGAGACGTGTTTGCTGATACAACTAAGATAACCATAATTTGACTAATCCACCTCAAAACAGAGAATATATAAAACAAAACATTTTGCATAAATTTTCACACAAATTTCCAAAATTCCCAATCTTATTAATTTTTTTTAAAAAAAACCCAACTTTTTCTTTTTTAATTCTTCAAATTTCCACCCAAAAGATTTGAGCTTTCTTGTGAAATTGGGTGTATATTCCATGGTATTCATCAAGAGATCAACCAAATTTCCTCGAAAATCAGACCCAAAACTGGATAATTCTGAATCAATTGCTTTGAAATCTTTCCAATCTTACTTATCAGAGAGCTTGAATCGATTGCTCTCTGATAAAAGATATGGATCTCTCTCTTGGTTCATCCCCTGTTTCAAATTTTTACAGGAAAAAAACAGAGCATTTGCAAAATTGGTGAAAGATTTAGACTACCCACTTTCAAAATGGAAGGGAAATTTAGCCGAAGATTATCTTTCACATACTTTGAACATGTTAGATGCTTTGAATTCAATCAGTTCATCAATTTCTCATCTGGGTATTTCTCGTCTTACTCTCTGTCATGCTGTAAGTTTAATCCCTAATTCTCCCTCTTCAGCTCTTCATCATTTGAAACCAATCAAACTCAGAAAAATTGAAGCTGGGAATTGCAAGAAAAAGGATGTTAAAAGCTTCAATTGTGACAAAGAAAGGGTAATTTACGAAGCTATGGTGAAATCAAAAGGGATTGATTTGGTAATTTCTAGGGTTTTGTTATGTGGGTTAAGTGAAGGAAGTGAGGATCATCTGAGTTTGTTGAATTCTGCAGAATTTGAGGGTTTTGATTTGGGGATTGGTGAAAAATTGATGGTTAAGGAGATTGAAGAGGTAAATGTTGCAGTAAAAGAGGTTGAAGCTGATTTGGTTGAAGGTGAAAATTGCAGTAAAAAGAAGTTGGATGCAGAGGAATTGAAGAAGATGTTAGGGAAACTTGAGAATCTACTGGAATTGGTTAATAAAGAGGTTAATTGCTTCTTCTCTGAGGTTTTGGCTAAGAGAAGTGAGTTAATTGATTGTCTTAGGCTTTCAAAAAGTAGTAGTTAGGGTTTTATTTTTCTTGTATATTGTCTAGAAATCAATAATAAAGAATAATGTTTAGTAAAAACAAGTGTTTTTTTTTCTTCTTTGTAACAATGTATAGTTACTTGCCTCAAAGTTTGTTAAGTAGTTTGAGAGGTTTGAGTATATTGTTTCGTGAGAATTGTAGCAACCATGGTGAATTGTACAGGTCAATCTAGTTCAACTTTGTAGGTTAGACGACTCATTTGGAGTGAGGGCAAGGAAGACAATCTCCACCCCCTAAAGGACTCCAGTGTAGAATTTAGGTCATGGGTTGCTGGGTAAAGAAGTGTAGTGTTTGTAGTAGAGAATGTTGTGAAAAGTATTGTAATGTATGCATAAAGTTAATGGAAATTTCGATTGCAAAGAGTACATTGTTTTTGCTTTCAGTATTCATACAGTTTATTTGAGTTTGATTACAAAGAGTATTTTTTTTTTTTTGCCTTTGGAATTTATATACAGTGATTTAAGAAATTTCGATTACAAAATTAATTTTCCACCATCCGCATGAATGCATATGTACATTTAACCTGGCCATCATACTCCACCATGAATGGGATCCTGGTTTTCTGGTTTTTATGCTGTTCACTTAAACAAGACACAAGTTCAGTGACATTCTAATATATCATTCACATAGGCTTTGATAAAGCTCTTTCTGTATGACATACAGATAGCTCTTCGTCTGAAGAGGAGTAGACTATTCGATACTAAAAGTAGTTATCTAAATATTTACAACTTATTTAATATATGATGTCAAGTTGTCGACTAAGTGCCATAGATATCCTGCTGGCTATAATATATTACCAAAACGTGCTATATCTGGTGCCAATTGAGCAGCAGCTAGCAATAAGGCAGAGAAAGATGATCAAGGAGAAGCTGCTGGACTTCCACAGTCGCTCTCAGTTGCTTTCCTCTTTCGAATGCTGTCACATGGTGGCCTGAATGTAAGAAACAACAAAGATTTTAAACTAAACGAAGAGAAGTAATCTATGAAATCTTGTTGGGGAAGAGAAAAGTACCCTAGGTGCAAGGTAACATCCGAATCTGTTTTGTCGTACTCACTGTTGCAGATTGCATCAGAACCTGAAGTCGCAACTGTCTCAGAGGAAACCTTTGCTGCTATGGGATAGTACTCAAGATACATAGGTTCAGGGCGGTCAGATGGTGTATGAAATCCTCTAAGCTCAGCAATCTACAGATCAGACAAAAGCAGAGTTAACACTGATTTATTATTAAATCACCACACAGTAACTTGCTCAATGGGATTAGAAAAGAAAGTTACTTGTCTGCGTAGAGTCTCATTCTCTAGCATGGCCCTGTGCTCCTAGATTACAAGGTAAATCCACATCGTTAGACTCAGGAATAACACATTGTGAACCATGCATAAAGGCCAACATCATACATCAAACAGAAAATTCTAACTTCAAATGTGTATCGGTTTTTTAACCAGCATCAAAAACTAACATATTTCCAGCTACTGTGAAGTACCTGTACGCGTGAATGCTCTAGTTGATCCATCAGTAATTGGTCCTGCAGTAGAAAGTATTCGCATAAATTTCTATTGATGTAGGTGCTTGTCGAACAATAATACAAGTAGCCTCAAATAGAAGACAAAAATAAACAAAAGGCACCATTAAATTAAAGCCACCTTCTTAGCTTTGATGGACAGTAAGCTTTCATTCAGTTGCTTTTCCAGCTGCTGCAATTCTTTCATGCTCAAGCCTGACAAATCTTTACCCAGCAGCCTCCTGTAAATTGAAAATGGTTGTTACTTACTCAAGTGGTTGACTTTAAAATAGTATAGCACAGGCTTGAATCGATGACAAGTTCAAGGAAATATACATTTGTTTCACTTGGAGCCTAGATATTTCATCTTTCAGACTATCAATCTCCTTCAAATCTTCGATCTGCTAATAAGAGCATAGCTCGATAAGAAAGGCCTTGCTTATACAAAATAGGCCTATAATTGTGCAATTGGCCATAAACAACACAACACATCCCTACCGTTATCCAGAAACTTTAACATTATCCATCCCTACTGTCTCAACTCTCAAGATAATATCTGAAGGCTCTGCTAGTAAAAGATGTCAAACTATGTAACAGAAAGAAAGGGATCTTTTTAATCATCAATTAAGTATGACTATGTAATCTCTTCCCCGAGAGCTAAAAACAGGATTCAAGTTTCAGACCCTTTTACCTGAAGCTTTGGTTTTCCCACTGAAACATCAGAAGTTTCCAGAGCATTCTTGTACCTTGCAATTGTTCGCTTCATGCTGTGCATAATGAAGCAAAACACTTTGAACACATAACAAAACAAAAATTGTAGCAATCAAAACATCAAGCATTAATTCAAATAAAAAAAGTGCACATTTGCCATGGCTTTTCCCATTCCCAGTGGTCTAGCATGTCCTCGTGTATATAGTCCAGACAGCGACACAATAATTTGATACACACCTCGGACCCAAAAGCATAACTATATACGCGATCAATTACAGTGCTCAGCCCATATATATACCACTCTTCCTTCTCATGACCCACATAGGATTTTGGTGCAACAACCACCATACAATGTATTGAGACTATGGACATCAATTCTTCCCTACTTTTTTTTTTCATTATACAAACAACAGCACAAACATTTCATCTCCTATATAATTCTGTGAAATTGTATGACCTGACTACAAAGTTTTAAACCAAGCTAAAACATACTTATCCATGACTATCACCTATTGCTTATGATGCCCAATCCTCCATGCCCCACGCCCCCGCCAACTACTTAAGTATATGGTGTACCCCAACCCTTCATCGATCATACAAGTACTTGTCTCAGACAACTATCCTTAGTCCAAATGGGCAAATGGGTGAAATCATACATGTTTCTTTTTTAAAAAAAATGATTACAAGTATTTCCAAACAATTTCATGTAAGGGGGAAAAAAATCTATACAAAAGTTTTGCTTCTCAAATTTGAAATTTTTTCATAAATGTCGTGTCCCTATACTCATGTCCAATTTTCACTCTCTCATACGTACTTGTACTCGATACTCATACCGGTATTCAAGTAATTAAAGATTTTTCACAACAAATGCACGTGTAAAAGTGCAATTGAAATGAATTAGCCACCATGTAAATAAGGCATGCATATAACAAAAATAAAAGTCTAAAGCACTTTTATCACACTAAAGCTTTGCTTCTTCAAAATGACAAGGCTAATTTTGTGCACACACTAAAGCTTTGCTTCTTCAAAATAATAAGGCTAATTTTGTGGACTCACATACATGTTTCAATTCAGCCACACCGCATAGGAGTGCTCAAAAACCAGACCATCCCGGGTTCGAGGTTTAAAAGGGAAAAACATGTTAGGAGTTCATTTACATACTTCCTCCGTTTGATTTTAATTGACACGTTTCTTTAGTCACGTTTACCAATGCACAAATTCAACTATTAATATCTTTAATTGTCGATGAGTAAAAATTATGAAAAGTTGATATTTTGAAAATATATATCGTGACGAATCCTAATAAGATCTCACACGACTATATTTTTCATTACGTATAAAGCTCGAAACATGGTCAAAGGGGAGTGTGTGAATAGCGTTAAAATCAAAACGTGTTAACTAAAAAAACGGAGGTAGTAGTACTTTATAAACAAAAAAGTTTGAATTTTTTATTATTATTACGAGAATTATAAATTTATGCTTCCTAATTTTTTTACTCATTTAATGTCATACTTCGTATAATACACATGCCTGGTTACTAATAATGCTATTTCACCTAATATGGTAAATAATCATGCACTTCAACAAAAAAGGTATTCAATTAACTTCACTTTCTTAGAAAAAAGAAAAAGAAAAAAAAAGAAATTAATAAAAGCTTTAATTTTTATTATATTTTTCTTATTTATAATTTTGCACCAAAAAATAATCGGGCAAGGAAAGAAGTAGAAGAGTCTTTCCGGGGCTTAAAATTAAATAAAGGATATTTTTAGAAATAGCTTTGCAATTCAACCCAAAAATAGCAAGTTTATTCGTACAAATAATTTAAAGCAATGGAAAAAAAGAAAACACAAAACTTTCTTTTACTATTCAAATTTTGACGATCAAAACAAGTTGAATGTTCTAACTTGTTATTAATTTCAAGGAAATTACTTGGAAAAAAACAACAAGACTAGTAGTCAACAAGGTCAAACAAATTAAACATGACATGCAATGGAAAAAAGAAAACACAAAATTTTCTACCGACAAACGACAATCAAACTTAAAAATCAAACCTTTGTAATAATAATCCCAGAAATTTCAACATGCAACATACTAAAGATAACATTTTTCTTATTCTTAAATAAAAAAGCTCCCTTTTTTAGTGTTTTTGGATAAAAATATAAATTATGTATTCAAAAGAAATTCCCTAAAAAATTAAAGAGAAGAAGATTAATTTACCTAGAGCTAGAAAACTCAAAGAGTCTTCCAGTACTAGAGAAGATGATAAGAGCAACCTCAGCATCACAAAGAACAGCAAGTTCATGAGCTTTTTTAAGCAACCCAGAACGACGTTTCGAGAATGTAACTTGTCTGCTATTTGCATTTTCGATCTTCTTTATTTCAATCTTACCACGACCCATTTCAATTCAACAAAAACCCAGAAATACCCACAATTTAATTTCTAAAAAACCCTACAAAAATGAAGATAAAAATCAACAATCCCCTGTTTTTTCTCCCCTGTTTTTTTGGTTTAAGAATATACAAAAAAAAAGCTTCCTTTTTTGTAATTGTTCTAAACTTAGAAAAAGAAGAAAATGGGGGTTGCTAAAAATGGAGAGAGAAAGAGAAAGAGGAGGGAGAAATGAAGGAGATTAAAAGAGGAGAAGAGAGAGAGATTATAAAGAAAGAATACAACTCCTTTGATCTCCAATTGGAGAGAAGGTTAGAGAGAGAAAGTAGAGAGAGAAAGAGAACGCCTAGAAATGGTAAGTCTGCATGGCAAGTCTACACTGTTGCATGACCCTTTTTGCCACATTTAGAGCGTTTTCTGTATTTTTTGTGGCTACTTGTGGGCCACCCACACCCTCTTTTTTTATTTCCTTTGAGGGGGTACCAAATTATTTTAGGGAAATTTATAAACCTAAATAAATACGAGCCGTAATTAATTATGCAAATTCTTGTATCAGACGGTTTCTAAAGTGCGGTTAGAAAGTGAGTATAGATTTTTAGAGTATGTTGCACCGTTGGGTGTAAATAGAGGGGTATATATGTATATTCAAAAGATGATAATCATCAAAGAAATTAAGAAAAATAAACAATAGATGAACCCGAAGTCCCGAATATATGTAAAGAACTCTTAGCAAAACGTCAAAACATTGTATAAAAAATCATTAAAGATCATCAGCTTTACTAATAAAGTCTTTAAAAGTACCAAAAAATAAAAAATTAAAAAAAGTGTCTTTTTAATGCAGTATTTTGTATGACTATATTAAATCAATCGATAAGTTTGTATGATACGAGTCCTACTTAATACTCAAATTAATAGAATAAAGGAAATAAAATCGATTTCCACATTTGTTTCCTTTTTTCCAATATACTCTATTAAAAGGGATTTGTTGATGTGATATACTCCATATGATGGTACCAAAATTGTGGGAAATCTTGGTGACTACGTTTAAATATGGAGTTAATGGTTTAACTTTTTACCTTTTTTTTTTTTAGGTGAAGAACAAAAAGAGAGTGAAGAGAATTATCATTTGTTGTACGAGGGGACACATCAGTAAATTTTGGAAATGCTGACTACGTGCTTTACACTTTTGCTTAATTTTACTTTTTCACTCAATGTTTCAAAATATAAAGCCACTTGCAAATTTTAAGCTTAAACTTTCCTTAACTAGAGATTTCCTTCTCTAATGAGATGATTAGCTACCGGACATATAAAATCTCTTCATTCATAATCTTACTCAAATTTCCTTAGCTAGAGATAGATATACTTTACATATTAAAAATCGTTATATTAGACTATTAATTTTTTTCTTTAATTAGAGGATTAACTACGTATATATACATTGATTTTCTTCATTCGTAAACCTAATGTACGAGCAACTTACTGATATAATCACGACATCACGTCTTATTTGGTGTTACTCCGTATTATAATTCATTTAATATTTCTACATGTAGTTACTTTTATAGCTTTATTACCTTCTTTTCCATGTATCCCTTACAAATGCATTTAAGATATTCCAAAAAAAATATATAAGGTTGTATGACATATTGACATATATACTTATATAGTATGAATAGTGTGAACTTAGTTCTTGTGGAAAAAGCAATATTTCCAATGTGATATGCTTTTCAAATCTAAAATAAAAAGAGTATGCATGTGCACTCATAAGGAATTAAGGAGTAGTAGCTTAAAGTGGAATATCAGTACTAGTAACAGAGTAAGGCAAAAATTAAAGAATGGAAAAAAAACAAGGGAAGCATGATCTACCAATTACATTTATTCAACAAAATCAAATTGGTTAAGTATTGGCCCATAGCTGTTATTTACATGGCAAGTAAATAGCAGCTATAAGACAAAAGAGTGGTGATTTTTTTTTTCTAGTGGTACAAATATTGTACCAGTATGACCTATAATGGCTGTAAATAGTACTACTAAAATAACTTATACTCTAGTAGTATAAAATATGTATAATAGTACATTAAAAATACCACTGTAAGTATAATAGTATATTAAAAATACCACTGTAGCAATAAAAAATCACAAAAATTAAGTGAATTTACTATAATTAGCCCTCCTATATACATCATAAACAAATAGCAGCTATGCGCCTAGTTACACTCAATGAAATTACGTAGTTCCTCTAATAAAAGGGAAATTACCTAAACTATGGGACGTTTGTATTATGAGAATATAGGGTTGAGATTGGAGATTATTTAATCAAGGGCATGCATGGGATCAAGATCCCAAAGTAGGAAAAAAATATGGACATAAATGGGTAATGAAATGGACGGTCAAATATAAAATAAATCCTTATTCCAAACTTTTTTTATAATTAGTTTTATGAATATATACATTTATAGAGTATGTTTACCTTATTTGTCAAGAAAAAATTGTCTTATTGTTGATAAATTAGATAGAAAATAGAATTGAATGGCTTGAATTTCTCATTGATCGTAATGTCAAATATATAATAGTTACACCTTGTAACAATAGAATCAAAAGATATGCTAGAATCCTAGAAAGTTAACTAAAATACAATAGATAATATTTGCCAAAAGATATCCTCACAAAAATATATTATACGATATCTCATTACCCCCCCCCCCTTCAAGTTGGAGCGTAAGGATTGGAAACGCCCAACTTGGAAAGAAGATAATCAAACTGAGATTTGCCGAGAGCCTTGGTGAAGATATCCGCGAGCTGTGAGTTGGTTGGAACATGAGAGGGAGAGATCAAGCCTTCAGTAATTGCATCTCGAACAAAGTGACAACCGACTTCAATGTGCTTCGTTCGTTCATGAAAAATCGGGTTCTTAGCTATGTGCAGAGCTGACTCACTATCATAAAATAATTTAATTGCCTTCGGATGCTGAACACCTAGACTCAACAGTAGAGCTTTTAACCATTTAAGTTCACAACTAATAGCCGCCATGGACCTGTATTCGGCTTCTGCCGATGATGTTGACACTGTGTACTGCTTTTTAGTTTTCCATGAAATAGGTGACTTGCCAAGAAACATTAGCCACCCAGACAAAGACCTTCGTGTAAGAGGACAGGCGGCCCAATCAGAGTCAAACCAACCTTGCAGATTTAAGTCACAATCAGAGCTTAAAATTAAAGAATATCCTATCCCGAAGTGCCCTTTAAATAGCGCACTACTCTCAATGCCACTTCCCAATGTTCACTACGGGGTTCTTGCATAAACTGAGATAGTATGTGAACTGAATAGGTTAAGTCTGGTCATGTTATCGCAAGGTATATCAGACGACCAACCAGCCTTATATACTACTTTGGATCCGAAAGTGGCGCACCACTTGCTAGGCCGAGCTTGTGATTTTGTTCCATCCGAAAGCCACTTGGCTTTGCACCTAATAAATCTGCTTCAGAGATGATATCCAAAGTATATTTTCTTTGACATAACAATAAGCCTGCAGAGCTACGAGCAACCTCGATGCCCAAAAATTACTTCAAAGGACCAAGGTCCTTCATCTTGAAATAATCACTAAGATAGGCTTTAAAAATAGTAAGTGCAGCGGAATTATTCCCAGAAATAATGAGATCATCGACATACACTAAGACATTTATTTGAATGTTAGTATTAGTGTATGTAAATAATGAATAATCAGAGTAGGATTGTAGGAAACCATATTGTTTCAAAGCCTTGACAAGCTTTGTGAACCAATATCTGGGAGTTTGCTTCAAACCATATAGAGACTTGCGTAATCTGCAAACAAGTTGGGATCCTTACTTTCAAACCCGGGAGGTAGCTTCATGTATACCTCCTCATCAAGGTCACCATGTAGAAATGCATTGTGAACATCCATTTGATGGAGTTCCCAATTTTTCGAAACTGCTATGGCAAGAACAGTTCTGACTTGTGTCATTTTGGCCACCAGAGCAAACGTCTCATCATAATCAATGCCTGCTCTCTGATGATTACCAAACACAACCAAGCGAGACTTGAGACGCTCAACATTCCCATTAGACAAAAACTTGGTCTTGTAGACCCATTGGCTCCCAAGAGCCTTCTTTCCCGGGGGAAGATATTCCAAAGTCCATGTGCCATTGTCTTCCAGAGCTCGAATTTCTTCTTTCATGGATTTGCGCCACCCATCATACTTCATAGCTTCTTTGAAAGACGTTGGATCCTTGTTTTGAACAATTGCTGCAATAAAATTCTAATAATTCACAGAGAAAGTGTTACAATTTATATAATGTGCTAGGGGATACGGAATACCTGGAGTCTGATTGGAAGAACGAGACGGACTCTTAGCAACAACCGTGTGTGTAACAAAATCGCGAAGTAAAACTGAAGGATATTTTCTCGAAAACCACGACTCATCTCATCATTATTAGGCGAACCATGGCTGGAATTGTGTGACTGTACGGGTGATAAGTCTATTTTTTATATATATTTATTCTCCGTCCCAATGGTCATAATTGTGTTTATTTGATCTCTACGGAGCTACTTTTGTTACTAATATGCGTTTTCTAGTTTTTTCGTAGATTTGGTATTGTTTTATAGGAAATTGCGGATTTGGAGCATTTTCCCGGATTTATTGGAGCCGCTACGAGCATTGGAGTAAGGTCGCATTCATATGACCACATTCCGAAGCTCAGGACCGGTTGGAGTCATCAAATCGGTGATTAAGGGCTCGGCGAAGAAGAAGAGTCCGGGGCAATGGACCATGTATTCAGAACCCAAAGAGGAAATGCGAATTGGGCTAAGAAACGACCCAATTGAAGAAGTCCAAGTTTGCCCAGGAGCTCGCCCGGCAGGGCGAGGAAGAAGGAAGAGAGTAGTTGCTCGCCCGAAGGCGCGCCCGACCGGGCGCGTGTTTCTGAGTTCGTTTAGCACTTTTAATCTTCGTTTTAGCTTAAGTTTTCTTAGTTTTAATATAAATACGCTTTTGTTAAGCGAGTTTGGGATTTTTTTTTCTTTTTTTTTTTTCCTCTCTCTCTCTCTCTCTACTTTTCTCATTAGTTTTATTTCTTAGTTTTTAGTTTTAAGCTTTTAGTTAATACTCTTGTTTCTCTCTCCACACTTTTGGTTTATGCAATTCTTTACTTCCGTTTATCTGGTAACGATTTCTTCTCCTTTTTACTTTCAGTAATTTAATTGCTTGGTTTCATTATGCTTTCTTTAATTGCTTTGCTTAGTTTAGATTTAAATATGCACGAGTAGTTTTATTTCTAGGGTTTGTGGGGATCCATAAATAATATGAAGGGGTAATTTATTATTGTTGACTGTCAATGCT